AAAGGTTAATACAAAAGATAAGGGCTCATGGAGTTGCTGTGATATATTAGCATGGATAGAGGATTGGTTAATGGGCAGAAAGCAGGGAGTAGGGATAAATAAGGCATTTTCGAGTTGGCAGGCGGTGAATAGTTGAGTGCTGCATCTATTTTAATGATGTACATGAAAGACAGATCAAAATAATGTATCTAAGTTTGGTGTAAGTGCAAAACTAGGACAGAATACAAACTGTGTGGTCTATAAAGAGAGGCTGCAGAGGGATATGGAGAGGTTAAGAGATTGGACAAGGCAGTGGAAGATGAAGTATAAAGTGAGGAAGTGTAAAGTCAGTCACTTTGTTCATAAATATAGAAAAACAACATTTTTAAAATGTTTGTGAGATTTGTAAATGTTGATATTCAGAGATTTGGCTGTACTTGTATAAGTTACATAAAATTTCAGTATGCAGGTACAACAAGTATTTTGGACATCAAATGGCTTGTTAGACTTTATTGCAAAAGGATTGGAGTACAGAAATAAATAAATCTTGCTACATTTGTAAGGGACTTTGGTGATAGCACAGCTGGAATACTGTACTCCAGACTTAAGGAAGGACCCAATTGCAGGAGCAGTACAGGTAAGGTTCGCTAGGTTAGTTGCTGGAAAGAAATGGTTGTCCAAATGATAAATTGGATCTGAATTCTAGTGGTGATCTCATTGAAACATACAAGATTGTGAATTGGATTCAGAGGCTAGACACTGATAGGTTGTTCCTCCTGGTAGGGGGATCTAGAACACAGGGGGCATATTGGGCCATGGGGTAAATCCTTTCAGACAGAAATCAGGAGAAATCTCTTCATTTCAAAGTTTTTGAATCTTTGGAATTCTCTACCCGAGCGGTTGTGGATGCTGCATCTTTGAATGTATAGGAAGCTGGAATAGACAGGTTTTTGGTGTCTCAAAACATTGAAGGATATGGGAGCAGGCAGAAAGTGGTGCTGAGGCCAAAGATCAGCCACAATTGTCCTGAATGGTGGAGAGGGTTTAATGGGTTCAATAGTCCTGCTCCAGTTCCTGTGTTCCTATGCGAAGCTATGCCCAGATAGTTTGCACAAAAAAGACTTCTTGTACTGTTCCTAAATGCTATATATTGTAAGGTTTGCTAGAAATGGAGAAAGTCTGAACGATATAGGAAATTGCAGGCTTTTTGATCTTAGTCGGATGATAGGTCGGCACAACATTGTGAGCCGAAGGGCCTGTACTGTGCTGTACTGTTCGATGTTCTATGTTTTAAAAATAATGTACAGTCCTGAGCAATGTGTCCCACCTGACCACGTGCTTTAGGGTATATATCTGGAAGTCTACACTGTAGTTGGATCTTAAGACCTTTACCAGAATGTTGTATCAAAGAGCTATCAGTGGCTTCCGGCACAGAGTGTCTGTGCTTTCCCACATTGTCTGATTTCCTGTTCTTTGTCTTACACATCACTGATACAGCATTGAAATGACATACTCTGGCAATTACACAAACATGAATCATTGAAGATAAAATATGAAGCCCTGTTATCAGTCTGTGGGGATAACATTCCACAAACTACTACTTTTTGGAGGACTGATGAACACTTGTGTAAAATCCCTCTGCATTTCTCTGCCAACTTATTTTGTTTCAGAGGGAGTTATGACAACTCTCAAATCTTGCATGGAACAGCACAGAAGATAATGCAATTTCTATTTTCATTTGTTCTCAACTGGGAAATAACTCCTGACCAAGTATGGCTATGGGTTAAACTGATAATTCACTACTCAGCTGTCACACTTGCTGTAGTTTATAATCTGATATTGTGATGCTGTATAACCAATTGGAAATTGCGGCTACATTTCTGCAAGAAACTGAGATAGCATTAATTTTGAGATTTTTCAATTTTTCCTAGTTTTACTGCAAATACTTAAAGGAAAAAATAACATGGGAGCATGCAACTATGTATACATTCAAGGTTTTGTTTTTTGGTAAATGTCACTGTGGGAACAAAATTATCATGGACCAGCAAATTACCCTCAATTGGCTGGGGTGAATCATGGAGGCAATGGGTGGAAGAGGGTGGTGGGGATGATTTGGTGGTGTCTGTAAGGAAGGCCCATTGCCTCCCAGGCACATGACTGACCAGTGGGGCCAACACCCATGGTGAAAAACCCTGATAATGGATATTCCATCTGAAGAGACGAAGGGTCCCACACCTTCTCAGAATGGCTGGGAGCTGACTGGAATCGCCCCTTGACTCCCAGTGATCAAAGAAAACATTCCATGAGATCAGAACATGACTCCTTCCCCATTTGCCTGTATCTAATCTGCACATGTGCACAATCATCTCATCATCTGTTGCGAAGGGAGTGGGAGAGGGGAGCAGAAAATGGGTGTGGGGAGAAATGGGACACACTATTTGTCTCAATTTAAGCCAGTAAGGCACAGAGATCAGGATCGGAGGATTGCTCTGTCCAATTTACCAGCTGATCAATGCTGCTCCCTGACCAGCCACCAGGAGATGTACAAGTGACACTGAGACATATCAAAGCAAGTGTAAAGCTTCTCTGCATGAGCTGCAGAAAACAATCACTCATCAATGCTGTCTGATGCTTTTGTTTCTCTTGATTAGTTTTTATTTGCATTTAATCATATTGACTAAAGGAGGCTTCTTGCCATAATAACAAGACTTAATTTCTGCTCTTTGTAAATAAACAATAATGATGGAAACTGTCCCATATATAAGCAGTTTTAATCAATCCATTCACATACTATTACACATGTTTGACGCAGATGGCCTTCTGTCCTAGAGGTAGGGCTACTACCACTGTACCACAGGTGCTTAATTTCAGTTGTGAGGTTAATGCACAAAACAATGAATAAACACAAGCCCTTCCTGAATGAGGAGTCTCAGGATCAAATGCTGTTTTCACAACTTTAATGACAGAGATTTGCAACTTTTCGTTAGTGATATTTCCCATGCAGTTACCTCTCACCTGAATTTGCTGGACAATTTCCATATCATTAACAATGAGGAACAAAAGCAGAAGTTGCTGGAAAAGCTCAGCAGGTCTGGCAGCATCTGTGAAGAAAAAATCAGAGTTAACAATTTGGGTCCGGTGACCCTTCCTCAGAAGGATCTTAAACGTTAACTCTGATTTTTTTCTTCACAGATGCTGCCAGACCTGCTGAGCTTTTTCAGCAACTTCTGTTTTTGTTCCTGATTTACAGCATCCGCAGTTCTTTCAATTTTCATCAACAATGAGTGTCATTCACTTCACTCTTGCTGGCCCAATATTATAAGTTCATTTGATACTAATAAATGCCAGAAGAAACCAGAGGAAAGACCCCAGGAAGTGTTCGGCCTAAAATGCAGAGCTGCTGTGAGATATTTCTACTCAACCTGCTCAGAGATGCTGTTGCACATGTATGGGGCAAGTGGGACTGGAGCCCAGCCCTCCTGGTCCTGAGATAGGGACATTATATCCATGCCACAAGAGCTCCTAGAACTGCTGTGCTACATTCCATCCCAATTTCAGTCAGTTGCACCTAATTTGCATTGTTTTTTTAGCTAAAAGCCATATCAGAAAGTTTAGGCTGACACTCCACTTGCAGCCAGTGTCATCTCTGCATGCAGCAACACACAAGTAAGCACAAAGTCAAAGTGTTCCTTTTAATGTCACATCCAGCAACAATACACCGCAAATTGTCAAAAAGCATGAATAAGATCACCAGGGCTAGAGAAACGCATATATAATTGTGAGGAGCCCTCGTGATTAGCCCTCAAAGTGTCAGTTTTATGAATCTTTTTCCATGCTTTAATTTAAAGCTTGTTTTAACTGTGCTGAAATCAGTCAGACTGTATATACATTGAATTATTAAAGATCATCAACTTTTCTAAACTAACAACCTTAAGATTCAGTAAGGTCAACTTGTGGTTTGTAATTGCAACTTTTTGAAAGGTCATCAAATTTTTGCATGAGCATCAGGGTGCAACTGCACATGTGCAGATCACAGAATCACAAAATTGTTACGGTCCAGAAGGAGGCCATTCAGCCCATTGTAGTAGCCATTTTTATTGTTGGCACCTTGTCTCTGTGTTGGAAACACTCACTCTGAAAGTAAATAGTACTCAAATCAGGACACCACACTTTAGGGAGAATGTCAACACCTCTGAAAGGGAGTAGAGGGGTTTGGTGAGATTGGTACCAGACAAAGAACTTCAGCCCATGTGGGGAGACTGGAGAAGCTGGGATTGTCCTCCTTAGAGAGGAGAAGGCCAAAGGGCTTTTTGGTCAATGTATCCACAAGCACATTTTTTCTCTAATAAAGTAAATAAGCAGGAATTGTTTCCAGTGGCAGAAACATTGGTAACCACATGATCGAGATTGAAGGATGATTGACAAAAGTAGTTTGAGAAAGTTTGGTTTTCACCAGTAAGTTGTGATCTGGAATACACTGCCTGAAAGGTGTTGGAAACAGATTGAACTGTACCTTTCAATAGGGAACTGTGTATTCATGAAGGCAGAAAAAGTCATTATAGGGCTAGCGGGAAAGGACAAGGATGTGGAACTAATTGAGTAGCTGTTTCAAGGAGCTGGAAAAGGCATGATGGGAAGAATGGTCTCTTGTATTCCATGATTTCTTTCCTTCCTAGAAAAACAAAAGTAGGCCTTCTCCTAAACTAACCAATCCGTTAACCCAGTCCCTTACATCAACTGTCAGGTTCGGTACCATTAGTAAAACTATTCCTCAGTCAACATACTGATGGTTTTATGTTTATAAGCCAATTTAAGTAACAGCACATGGCTATTCTAAGGCTTAAACCATGCATTCATGCAACCTCCTGTCTGTTTTCAAACAGTTTCAGTATTTTGTCCTTCAAATGCCTGATTCTGTATAAGGTATAAAATTAAGACATTTCATTTTTAGCACTGTCTTTGCCAATTTAAACGAAGTTCACACTTGCAACAACACTGATTATCCGCAAGCTAGTTCCTACCTTCTCTTGCCGTGTACTCATTGTCTTCAATAAGGCGGGCAAGACCAAAATCAGCAATCTTGCAGCAGAGCTCTTCAGAAACCAGGATATTTGCTGCACGAAGATCTCGATGGATATAATTTTTTCTTTCAATAAAGGCCATCCCCTCAGCGATCTGCAGAAGAATGTCATAAAACAGATAGATACAGTGAGACATTAAAATGACAGTAGGAACCTTAATCCCAAATAATGAGGCCATAACATGAGCAGTTTTAAAACTAGTTGCAGATTTTGAATTGAATTTTATTCGAGTTGTAATTTTTACCGATAAGAAGAAAAACAGAAGCGTGAACTTTGAAGATAAATGAGTCCCTTTTTGATTGTGTATTTAAATATATTAAAGTCATTCTTTGAAGGGCTTATTCAAGATGCTTGCTTTGAGTTTTCATTTGAAGTAACTTCCCCGTTATTGACAATGTGGTAGTAATTTCTCATGTTTTTTCAGCCAACTTTGCCCAATCTTTAACCCCATTTTTCTCTAGCTTCTGATTCCCCCTCCTGCATACATCAAATTTTAAAAAATGTCCAAATCAACATTTCATCAAAGATGGATCACAAAAGCAAGGATATTGCTCCTCTACGTTTTTCAGTGAGATTAAATACATTCAGAATTCTTCCCAATCCCAATGGATGACGCAGTAACTACCCTAATAACACTGTTACCTTAAACAAATATAATTCAACCATTCACAGGAATACTGATATTAATGGCTCAATATACAGCAAAAAAGGCAGATTACTTCATAATGCCTTAAGAGTTGATGCAGTGACCTATTTACTGCATTGATTGATCCTATCTAACGTACTTGTTCATTGGGAGTACGTTCAACACTATTTACACTGCATGCGAGCAACATCAAGTGGTTCATGATTGGTAATGCTGAACTTTTTGAAATATTCTGTGACCTGCTGAGTGAATTTTTCTCATTGGCATACTGGCATTGATATTTTAAGAATAAAATTCTCAGACTTGGGTGTCCCTGGCAAGGTCTGTGTTTATTGCTTATTCCTAGTTGCACTGAACTGGTTGACTTTCTGGATCACTTACCCCACAGGGAAAGGCTGGGTATGTGGGCCCTGTATCATTGGAGTTTAAAAGAGTGAGAAGTGATCATAATGAAACATACAAGATCCCGAGGGATCTGAAAAGATGGTTCGCCTTGTGAGAGAGGCTAGAACTAGCAGTTTAAACATGTTCGCCCATTTAGGACAGAGATGAGAAGAATCTTTTACTCTCAATTCTGTAGAATTCTTTCCCCAACAAACAATTGGGTATAGGTCATTGAACATTTTGAAGGCTGAGTTGGATTGACAATAAAGTTAAATAGGGTGCAGAAAGGAAAGCAAAGTTATTAAATGGCAGAGGAGGCTTGAGGGGCTGAATGGCTCACTCCTGCTCCTAATTTGAATGTTTGTATCACTTCAGAAGGCTGCTGCAGAGTCAACTATGTCAGTTTGGGACTGGAGTCACATATAAGCTGGATAAGGACATGCAGCAGGCTCCTTTCCCTAAAGTAACTTCAAATATCGGTTTGGTTTTTGTGGCAATCCAATTGTGTTCAGTTTTTTTTAATATGGTGGTATTGTCTCTTCTTTTCCCCAGATTTTTCATACTTAATTCATAAACCAACCTAATGAGATGTTCTGCCATGTTACATGCTCTCTGGATTATCAGACCATGTCACTGGGCTGATGTAATTGAGTCAATTCACATAACAACAACATGACCACAGCCCTATCGACACGCAGCTTCATAGGAACACAGCGTGGAGTTGAGGACTGTTTATTGTGCTATGGTACATTTGAAGGAGCTATAATGCAGTTTGACTTTCACAAAGCATTTTTAACAGGTGTCAATGTTACTTTGCGTTCTTAGCAAAGCTACAGTGTGTGTGCCTGCTGGAAATCTGACAAACCCACAGAGCTACTTCCTAATTCAGGAGCACTCTATCACCAGCTGAAGTGAATTTTTTTATAAAACTATGCTCTCATTCAACTGAAAATCTAATATACATTGACACTTCTTGAAACTCATATCATTACTTGTTAAATTCCATGATAACTATACTTGTAGAAGCAAGATAATTGCTCCTATGTGGATTTGGTCCGAGAAAAAAATATTAACCTTTTTATTTAATGCAAGCTTTTTCTGCTAAATTCAGAGTTTTCTTCTTGCATTCTCTGGTCGGAGACAGATCCGAACCAACAACTTTCTCCATGGGGAAGGCAAGGAGGCAGGTTCACAATCCAGCCCAGCTGGAATGGAGAAATCGCACCTGGTTTTGTTGGCACCAACCTGAACCAGAGCAACAACCTAGCACACTGAACCAACCAGCACCTTGAGTGGCGATAGCAGCTTGCACTTTTACAGGCATGTTGTGGTCTGCAGCTAAGGACAGCGCCAGTAGAGACCCCAGGTTTTATTCCAGCGCATAGCTGATTTGGCATTCCTCCTGCTCTCTTACTGCTTGCTGCTGGTGCTTGTTGGAAGGATTTGCAGGTTATCAACCTGTTTGACCCTGACATAAACTCATCTTCCCCGATCATCAGCTCCTGGAGCAAGACTTGAAGCTGCATCAGGGATGCTACCCAACTCCATAACAAGATCTCTTCATCATATTGAATGGGTCAACATTACGCACGAGCCTTTGACCATCCTTGTTGTCCTAACTGCTTGTACCCATTCTCCTGATTACAGGTAAATCATCCTGATCCATGTTTATACACACCTGTACAGGAATTCTGATGAAACTCCTTTTTACAAGGAAACTGTGGTTTCACAGCACTCCACACTAAGTAGAACATCTTTCAAGTTTCAATGAACACAAGTGAGACCTTAGTCTGCCATTATTTCATTCTAAAGTACTTGTCCCTCATCTCAGGTTATTGGCTCAGCTCAAAATAACTCTGTTTCACTTACTTTACTTATCAGTCAAAGACACTGTGATTACTATACCAGCACATCTTTTAGGAAGTATTTCACAGCAGCAACAGAGCATTATCATGCATGTCAACATTTGTTCTTAGCTTCTATGAATGTAAAGTTTTAGTCTGGATTTGGGAGTGTGTGACCAGTTAAATAGGAGATAACTGACAATAGTCTTGGACTTCTGTCTCACTCATTGATCAGACAATAGTAGTTAGTTTCACAATCTGTCCCTTTCCGGAAACATTTCTAAGATGAGTGTCCATATTGGAAACTAGTGTTCACTTGTTAACAAGCTAAATTACATTTCAATGGTTTCAAGTCTATTCACTGTTAGAACCATTAGTACTGAGATGCTCAAACATTGCTTTTACATCTATTTTGCCTTTTTCCTGTGCCATAGTACAAACCAAGGTGAGAGTGCTTCATGACCAAAGCTGCAACCTACCCCTGTAAGATAAGAAACAGACAGCAATCAGCTAGACTTGGGGCTTGAGCTCTGTCTTATTGGGTTGGATTGTTGCACTCATTTCATGCATGTGCTGTTTTGGTTGCTCTTCAAATTTTTACACACCACAAAAAGACTGGATGTCTTTAATTTACTGTGCGCTTCTTTGCAATATGCTTCTGAAACAAAAGCGTATTATTGCGGGTGTGGTAAGCGTTGGTAGGTTTACCTAGTTTTAGTTAACATTTCAATGTGCAACGGGATGTGGTTAAGATTCTTTATGGTGCTCAGCATGCAATTGTTTGGGTTTTTATTGGTAACATATTGTTCATTCCCGATCATTGTTAAATCCACTGGACTCCTCCTTGGCCTATTTAATGTTGCAGAATCAAACCTTAGAAATGTCGGTGTTTATAAACAGCAGCAGCTAAACTCCTCTCTACAGGAAAAATGTTGTTGAAAAATAGATCAGATGCAAACATTTCCTTGAGGATGTTCAAATCAATCCTAAAACTACACAGGGATAAAAAGAAACAAAATGTGGAAAATCTGGATCAATATGAAACAATGTTGGAAATACAGCAACTTGGTAGGTTTCTGCTCAGAAGAGTAGCTGAATGCTTCAGAATGAAATATCCAGCAGTTATTTCAGATGTGAAACATCTTTCTGTTTCCAGACAGTGACAAAGCTACTGTTCCTTCCCAGCACGTTCTCTGTTTCAGTTCCACGTGCAGTCATTACTTGGTGCTAGTAACTCACCTGTGCTGCCATATCAATGAGCTTAAATATGTTGAGTTTTGATCCAACAGATGTCTTCAGAAAATCCACAAGGCTACCTGGAAAAGAGAGAAAAAAGAAAGATAAATGCCATACCTTCCTGCAAAACATTTAGGATTGAGCAAACAGCAGTCTGGATTTTGTTTGACAACAATTTTTAGTATTTTAATAATTTTTGGTAAGACAGGCTTTGAAATCTATATTTTCTTGTTAGGCAGACACAATGCTTAATACTAATTGACATAAATGAGGTGCTTTATTTTGCACTTCAGGTCCACAATGCTACCTGCACATTGAGCCACCAGGCTCAAAATATTTACACATACACTGTCCCTGAGGCTTGATGGTTCCTTACATCTATCTTCAATTCCTTACATACTGTAACATCCTTTATTTACACAGTGGGTCATTACACACAGCTCTCTAACGTCATGCCTAATAGCACTCTCTTTACTTGCTCATTCCAGACTAATGAATTCTCCTTTACTGATTTCAGAACCAAACCATCAGTTTTATCTTGATGATTTACATGAAACTCGATATCACACACATTGGGACTTCCCCTTTATCCAGAATTGACTGGGGACAGTGTGACCACCAGTCGAACATTTAAACTTACCGACATGAGTAGTCAGTTGTTTAGCCCTTGAGGGAATAAACTTGATTAAACATCAAAGAAGAGTTGATCCTGAATACCTATCCCCATCTCAGCAAGAAAAGCCAAGTTTCTTTCAAAGCAATGGAGCAATTAACACAGTTGAACCCATTTTTAAAAAATTGACTTATGGGATGTGGGCTTTGCTGACTGGACCAGTATTTATCGTCCATCACTAGTCACCCCTTGAGAAGGTGGCGGTGAGCTGCCTTCATGAACTGTTGCAGTTCTCCTGCTGTAGGTTGACCCACAATGCTGTTAGCGAGGGAATTCCAGGATTTTAACCCAGTGACGCTATGACAATATATTTCCAAGTCAGAATGGTGAGTAGCTTGGAGGGGAACTTGTATGTGGTGGTGTTTCCATGTATCTGCTGCTCTTGTCCTTTTAGATGGAAGTGGTTGTGGGTTTCAAAGGCGCTGTCTAAGGAGTAGATGTTTGTGGATGCCGATCAAGCAAGCTGCTTTGTCCTGGATGGTGTCAAGCTACTTCAGTGTTTTCAGAACTGCACCAGCCCAGGCAAGTGGGGAGTATTCCATCACACTTCTGACTTGTGCTGAACATTTCTGTTCAAACAGCAGAAAGACTCAGTGAGATGTTAAACAATTATTTGGAAATTGTCAAGAGTAATTTTCAGCCTTCAGTGAGCATGGGGAATTAGTGTCAGTGAAAATAATTTATAGCACAAAGCACTGGCCTTTGATTTGGGAACATTCTTATTCAGCTCTGCATTAAGACATAAAAACCGAAAGTTCTGAAGGAGGTTCACCAGATCCAAAATGTTGACTCTGATGCTGCCAGACCTGCTGAGCTTTTCCAGCGACTTCTGTTTTTGTTCCTACATTAAGACATGTCCTCCAGGCCTTTTTCTTCGATGATTTGCAGAGACCAGGTGAAATTTCAGTCTGTATCCTTCCTTTTATTTTAGTGTCACAAACAGGGTGGTCAAGTTCTTGCACCTTATTTTTGTTGGCCACACTAACTAACAGTTTGTCATAGCTATTCAAATGGAAATGGATGGTTTAGCTTAAATTTCATTCACTACGCCATTGCTAAGAATAGAGTATCACAAGATAACTGCATAGTTCTTTTGAATTAACTGCGATGATCTTTTTGCAACTCCATAGCACCATGCTGATGCTGCATCATGAGGCAAGAGTTGAGGACCTAAACTTTGCCCCAGAACATCGTAAAACAGCATTTCATGATCTTTGGTTCACCTTGAGGTCATTATCAGAAGTATTTGTAACCTTCCCAGATTTAACCAGATGTTCTTTCATATGTTCTACACAAAGTACTTCACATTTAGTTTCTAGGATGATCCCAACTTCATGCCTTCAAGATGCATTTGGGAGGATTTACTTAAAAAAGGCCTTTTTTAAATATTTCACACTTTACCCTGTTTTTGAACTAATGCTCCTGGGACAGGATGAGCTACTTTGGAGTTGGATATGTGATTCATCCACTCGCAAAAACATTTTGAATGTGAAAACAAAGTTAAAAATAACTGAGGGAAGAGGGAAGAGGTTTCACTCAACAAATTGAAATGATGAATGTAGGCATACAGTCAGAGAACTGCAGAATTCAATACAGTTCATTAACATGATGGATGATAATATTGAAATCATTCTTTGAGCTGAGAGATTTGTAAAGTAATGGTATGAGTTTGAAGAGTTTCAACAGGATTTGGTCATAGCACAGAACCAATGTGAGGAAAGAAGACCCTTTAGTCTGTTTGGATGTTTTCTCCATTTTCCATATTATTTCCCTTGGCTGGGAGAAATGGAAGGAAGCAGCAGCAATTTTTCCAGTATAAGGATTTTCCTCCTCCGCCACTGTTTAGTGACAGGGTACAGATGTAACATAGCTCAATCCATCACTTCTTCCTATGTTTCAGCCTTTCTTTTCTTGTGAAGCAATCCTAACACTCCTAACTAGGGGAACCATACATGGCTCAATGCACAAGAACAGCCTCCAGCCCAGTGCAAGGGGGTGGAATGTTTACTAGGGATTTTGTAAACAAGGCTATCCTCATGGTCAAGTCTCATGTTGTCAGACAGCACAATCATCAGTTCTTTTCTCATTTTTTCCATTTCCAGTCCTTTACCAAAGGCATTGACTTCTAAATGCCTCTGGGTAAATCTCACAAGACTGGTCATTGTTCACAGGAAATTGTTGGATTCAAATCAAGATAGTATAAAGGACCCCTTCGAATCTCCTTTAAACAAAATGAAGTCCAAAACACTCCATTAAACTTGGATGAATAATTGCTCAGTGGCCTGAGCCTGTTCTGTTTCCTTTCAACAGCCTTCACTAGAAACTCTGGATAAATACATTTATCAAAATGGGATTAAAATAATTTTTTGAGGGCTCCTTGAGATTTTTTGTGGGCTATGTTTTAATTTACAGGGGCTACTTTTTGGTTTTCAGGGGCTCTTTACTCATTCTAAATAGCTCTTTTATTTGATAACACATTTACGGAGTAACTCTGTATTTCTGTTGATGTGGGAAGTTTGGACTCACACAAATGTCGAATTGGAATCACTCACCAATACCCTCAATAATAATCAATTCTCCATTAAACAGAAATCAATAGCATACAAGAAAAAGCAATCTCCTAGATACAAAATTGATGTAAGATCACAGTCATAAACTAACAAAGGTTTTTTTCAAAATAATCGTCACATGCAACTATGGTTTTGCCTCTAGCAGGGTACCTTACCGCATGTGGTAATGCCTGCATTATCCATCAGAACACAAGAAACTGGATGTGGAGATTATGATACTGAAGTATCCAACAGACATTTGCTAATCTAGTTACTAGATACAAACATTACATGCACAGGCACATCTGCGTCTGGGCTGATATCAAGCCATTAAGTTACACAAAACAGCATGTTTCTTGTAGCATGTCATGCTTCAAGTGATACCAGGGTTAGATTGAGTACTAGACCTTTATATCCTCAGGTCAGGTACTATGGTACGGTGAGGATATCATATCAGGAGAATATTGCTTAAAGGTATGCTGACATACTGACCATGAGAGAGAATATGACACACACTGAAAGCATCTTTAGCTGCTTCATGAGTGATATTCCCTCCATCACAAGGTCAGAAGTGGAGATGTTCACAGATGATTGCCCAATGTCCAGCACCATTCACAACTCTTCAGATACAGTCCATGTTCAAATGCAACAAGATCTGGAGAATATCCAGGCTTGGGCTGACAAGTGGCAAGTAACAATCATGCCCCACAAATGCCAGGCTATGACCATCACCAATAAGAGACAATTTCAGTCCTGGCCCTTGACAATCAATGTGTTACCATCACTGAATTGCCCCTTGCCAACATCGTTGGGGGTCAACATTCCTCAGAAACTGAACTGGACTTGCCATATAATTATGAATCGATGGTGCTGAAATGGAAATGGTTAAGAATGTCAAGTTCTTGGGAGTGATGATCACCAACAATCTGTCCTGGTCCACCCACGAGATGGTCAAAAAACACAACAATGCCTCTACTTCCTCAGGAGGCTAAGGAAACTTGGCATTTCTGCAAGGACTCTCACCAATTTTAATTGATGCATGATGGAAAGCATCCTACCTGGATGCATCACAGCTCAGTAAAGCAACTGCTCTGCCTAAGACCGCAAGAAATTACAGAGAGTTACGAGAGCAGACCAGTCCATCACACAAACCAGCCTTCTTCCCCCTGACTCCATCTATACTTTCTGCTGCCTCAGGAAAGCAACCAACATAATCAAAGACCCCTCCCATCCCGGTTATACTCTCTTCCACCCTCTTCCATTGGGCAGGAGATACAAAAGTATAGTATACACAGATGAACAGATTCAAGAACAGTATCTTCCCTGTGGTTATCAGATTTTTGAATGGACCTCTCAAATGCTAATGTTGATCTCTCTCTCTCTCTGCACTTTTTCTGCAGCTGTAACATTGTGTTCTGCACTCTGTTCTGCTGCCCTGATGCGCTTTGTATTGTACGATCTGCCTATATATCACGCAAAACAACACTTTTCACTGTATCTCAGTACTTGTGACAGCAATAAATAAAATGAAATCAAATTAAATCAAATTAATGGCTAAACAGCAGGTCAGAGATGAGGAATCCTGCAGCGAGTAACTCTCCTCCTACCTCCCCAAAGCCTGTCCACCATCTACAAGGATTAAGTCCAGAGTGTGATGGAATACTCCCCACTTGCCTAGATAGGTCCAGCCCCGACAACACTCAAAAAGCTTGACACCATCCAGGATAAAGCAGCCCGCTTGATTGCATCCCATCCACAAGCATCCTTTCTCTGCACTCAGTACACACTCAGTAGCACCAATGCTTACCATCTGCAAGACACATTGCAATATTTCACAAAGGCAGCAGCTTGTGAACTTCTATCTAAATGGCCAAGGGCTGCAAATATATGGGAACCACCCCCTCCAAGTTCTCCTCCAAGCCACTCACCATCCTGACGTGGAAACATATCGCCATTCCTTCACTGTCACCAGGTCAAAAGCCTGAAACTCACTCACCTACGGCATTGTGGGTCTACCTACAGCAGGTGGGTTGCAGCGGCTCAAGAAGCATGCTCACTACCACCCTCTCATGGGCAACTAGGGATGGGCAATCAATGCTGAGCCCAGCCAGCGATATCCACGTCACAGGAGTGAACTAAATAAACTTCTGGTTATGGCATAAAGGCTCTTTCAGCTTGGCTAAAGATGGCTCTTGGACCCCCTATCCTGCACTACACCCTTCCCCTGAGAAGACTCTCCCTTGGCAACTCCTTCATTGTTAACACTTACTTTCCTAAATGCTAGTTGCTCCTCCAATCACAGACTGGTTCTCTCCCAGGTGACTGTTGATAGGCTCACGAGTGGATCAATCAGGATCAAACATGGGGGAGAACCAGCCTGTGACTGGAGGAACAGCTCCTCATCATTTCCTTCCATTTTTCTTCGATAGTCACCGCACACGGTATGTCTTTCACAGGTAGTTTTTAGGGATGTTTCAAGTTGGAATTACCACTCCCATGTGCATTTTGGAGCATTGCTTGGATTCTGAACCAAACCATGTACAATGTCACCAGGAATCAAAGAATGAACAGAGTCTGCATATATTCTCTAGAAGTGTGAGTGGGGATCTCATAGAAACCTGTAAAATTCTAGAAGATCTAGACAAGGTGTACAGGATGGGCTGAAGGGCAAACTTCACGATATTCGACAGTTGCATGACCTTGAATGAGTCCTGTGAACATTCCTGTATGTGCTGAAGATGGTACAATCAACATGTTTTTCTATAGTTGGTTTTTCTGTGCTTTGCTGTTGTTACACTGTATTAGAGAGAGTGTTTCGTTCCAAGTCATTAGACTTCACCTCGAACCAGGATCGTGAATGGTGCCAGGAAAAACCTCAGCCTCCAGATCAGCCATCAATCGAGGGGTCCCCGACGAACAGAAGGGCGTGAGGGTCAGTGTTTATTCACTTTCTTTGTCATTCTTTTTATTTATTTAATACATGTTCCTTTCTTTTTTGTCTTTTATTATTACTCAATAAATATTCATATTTAAGGAAGTTGCTGTTGATGAGCCTTCTCCTTACTTCATTTAACTGAATCTGAAAAGAACTGCTTGGATGCTGTCTGTGATCCAAAACACAAGGTGAAGACAGGAAGGATGGACCAGAGAATCCACAACGGTTACAATTTAATGATATAGAGTTGGCCATTTAGAATGGAGATGAAGAGGAATTTCTTCACCCAGAGACCGGGGAGCCTGTGGAATTCTCTGCTACAGAAAGCAGTTGAGGCCAAAACATTGAATATTTTCAGGTAAGAGTTAGATATAATTCTTAGGGCTAAAGGGATCAAAATGTATGGGGAGAAAGTGGGAACGGGAGACGGAACTTGATGATCAACCATGATCATATTGAATTGCAGAGCAGGCTCGAAGGGCTGAATGGCCTACTCCTTCTCTTATTTTCTATCTTTCTATGCAATTCCTCATAAAGCTCAAGCTATTTTAGTCCCTTTAGGGCATTTGTTCCCAAACCTTTCCCTCCCTGACCCCATTTCAAGGTTTCAAATTGTCATGAGCCCTCAGTGTGAGCAGTCAGAATGGGAGGATAGCTGTATGCACAGTTATAACTTGGTCAGAACTCCACAGCATCCAGAGCTTGTGACTCTAAAATCCCCACTCCAAACCCCACTTGAGGTTGTGTTCCTATCTTTGAGAAGCCCTGTTTTAGAATCTAACACCATTTAACTTCAGAACACTGAGTATTCTAATCATCATGCTACAAACGTGCTCAAACTTCTTGATTTATAAAACAACCCCCCTTAACTTCCTGAATTCCCGAGGAGGCTACATCTCAAGAAAACAGAGTCCTCCTTCTCCCCATTCCAGACTGGGTGCACAGTGCTCTGTAATGGCCCTGATCTTATTAAGTTTAGCTGCTGTTTTGCACCCAGTCAAGTGCGCCAGCTCTGCTCTGATTACCAAGCCCTTCAGTGTTTGACTTGTATCAACTTATGACAGCTCTTGAACAATCCGAAATAAAAGTCCCAAATTTACAAGACTCAAACCTGATTAAAGCAAAGACAAGTATTCCCCTCTGGTCAAATAGCAGCAGAACAGGTCTTTATCACTGGAGCATTTAAGCACATCAGTGAGGATGCAACATTGCAGGTGTATCGAGTTTTGGTGAGCCTGTTTCTGAAGGATTGTGCACAGGCACAGTCCTTTACTTAAGGAAAGATATACTTGCTGTAGAATGTAGTGAAGGTTCACCAGTCTGATCCATAGGATGGCGCGACAGCCTGATGGTGAGAGATTGAGAACAAATTTCTTTATCTAAAGAGTAGTAAAACTACCAAAGAAGCTGTGGAGGAACAGTCATTAAGTATATTCAAGGCAGAGATTGATATGTATCTTCAATATTACCAAGGGACATGGGGTAATGTGAGAAGGTGCTGATGAGGTAGACATGATCTGGCTGAATGGGATAGTATATTTGAAGGTCTGAATGGCCTCTTCCTCCTATTTTTTATGTTCTTATGTACCCCAAGGAGACAGTTGTTTTAGAGTTGCTGACACTTTAAAAAGGGAAATAGGTTGATATCTTGTAGAAGGATATTCACGATTCCAAAAATACAATAAACCATGATTTTTTCAGGGGAGACAGGGAAAGGAATGAAATACTTTTAAAGCAAAATTAATAGGCGGTGGAGAGAAAGGACAAATAGACTCTGGCTAGTAAAGACTTGAAGGAGTAACTTGCCCTGTGTTGGATTTTCTTCAGTCTTATGTTCAGGTTCACAAGAGAGCCATATTGAAAGTTAAGTGTACACACCATTCCCAATGAATCCCTAAACTAAGAGGGATTCTAGTGTGCTTCTGCCTTCATTAGCTCATGGATATCCTGCTCATTGAAATGAGCAGAGGGGAAATCAGAGGCCAGGCAAAACACACTTGTGGAATAGACCTACCAGTGAACCCATTTCTCTGACCTCCAGGTTTTAAGGTTACAGCATTCTGATTGGCCTTGACAATAATATCAAAAAAAGCTTAATTTGTATTCACACTGACTGAGAGCCTCATATTTGTTTTGCACACAGATGCAGAACCATGGTTTGGGTCCATTAGGACTGTGCAGATGATTAATATCATTTGGTGCCATCTATTATCTTCCTTCCAGTGTGTCAATGCAAATATTAACTTATTTTTGATGCCAATGGGCATAGAAATCATTGTTCACACTTCATTTAGGTGTAGCTGCACAAAACTAAAGCTTTTATATAAATAGCACAGCAAAACAAAATACCCAACAACTGGAATGGAGCCTTCAGCTACCATAGAATTTGATCCGAAAATGCTTTTATAAACATGTGTAACACCAGTCTCTCTCTTTTTGGTTAATGGAAGGAAGTAGCGAGCAGAGATAGATGGGGCATTTTCAATGGGCTTTCTGTAGCCAGTGGATTATTGCAAGGTTCAGTGCTGAGGTGACAGTTATTTGCCATCCATGTCAATGACTTAGACAGAGGCAGAAGATAATGTATCGAAGCTTGCTGAAGATACGAAACAAGATGAGCTGTGAGAAGGGCACAGAGAGGCTTTAAAAAGACATAGACAAGTGAGTGGACCACAAATTGCAGGCGCAGTATTATCTGGTGAAGTTTGAGGTTATTCACTTTCTTTGTAAGAATAGTAAAGCAGAATACCTTTTAAAAGATGTGAAAATTTTAGCTGTTGATGTTCAGGGAGATTTGTTGTTCTCATAGCGTGCACGGAAAGAATGCAGACACTACAATAAATTAGGAAGGCAAATGGCATGTTGGTTCTTATTGCAAGGAGACAGGAGTACGAAATAAAGAAATCTTGCTACATTTACATGGGGTTTTGGTCAGAGCATAACTGGAATATTTAAAAAAAAGTTGTTCCTTGGATGGGGCCATCACTAGCTTGGTCAGCATTTATTGCCAATCCCTAATTGCCCAGAAGGCAGCCAAGAGTCAGCCACATTGCTGTGGGTCTGGAATCACATGTAGGCCAGACCAGGTGAGGATGGCAGATTTCTTTCCCTAAAGAACA